GATAGCAGATTAATCTTTTGGCCAAAGAGCAAAACTTAGAATACCTAACAATTCTCTAGTGGACAAGGTGGATGAGCTGATATTTTATTGGACCAACTTCTGTTGGTGAGAGACACAAGCTTCCAAGCCATACAGGGCTCTTATTCAGGTCTGGGAAAGGAACTCTCAGCATCAAAGCAAAATGCAAAGACTGTTTAGCATAATTACTTAGCACATATTGTAAGAGGCCATTCAAGGTAGAGTGGCCTGTCAACACCTCTGCAGTCACAGGACAAAAAGAAGGGGTTAGTGGGTTATATATTGTTGTAATAAGCTATAAATCTAGTGTGTCTGTTCAGTCCATTTAGCTGTAACACTCGAGTTCCTTCAGGTCTGGGAAGAAGAGCCCTGTGTAGCTTGAAAGCCTCTCTCTCTAAGGTGCCACTAGTACTCCTTTTCTTTTTGAGAATACAGATTAACACGGCTGCTACTCTGAAATCTCTCATCAATAGCAATTGGTCCAGTAAAAGATTTTACCTCACTCACCTTGTCTCGCTAATATCCTGGGACCACCATGGCTACAACTACACTGCATATAAAAAAATCTTTAACTTTCCAAAACTGTTCCATTAAAGAGTACCTAAAATTTAATAGACCAAATACTGGGACTTGCTGAGTCCACCGGAGTAGCAGGTACACAGCATTTGGCCCATGAAGAACACACAAAAAGCCATTCTTACCCACTTTCTGAACACATTAAAAAGAACTAGAAGTTCTTTTCTTCATTTGGAATGCAATTACCTATTTCCAACTTCAGTTTATTTTATAGATTACTTTCTTTTGTATAGCAACCCAGACAAAGAGAGAGTTAATAAACCCACACAAAAGGTGTAAAACAAGCTTGAGCATTCCATAGATTTTAAAACACAATACATGTGCTTTAACAGAAATAACTGATGTCCTCATAATTCTAAGGGAGGTTACTGTTTTGGTTTTTTTAATTCATTTTTTGTCCCTTAACTCTTGCTTTTCTAAAGCACCTGTTTGTAAATACTTAATCCCTAAGGCCACAAAACATTCCATGCTCAGTAAAAGTGAACCTATATGGATTCTTAGACAAATATTGTTTTATTATGACAGCAGAAATGCATTCCGGTTCATTTGTTCAATTTGAAAAGATAAAAACATCATGTTTTGAAAGATTACGGCCCTTCAAATGTTTAATTTATACAGTATTAAAGGCTGAGACTATCTATATGACGGTCTTATTTTTCATTAACATTTATCAGTAAAACCACCTAAAACACCCCCATCAGTCCGATATGTAGTAGGACATGCGCTATCCACACATTCACTCATATTGCATGTCCTTTAAACACCATGGCCAAAATTTTCAAACTTTGGGTGAATTCAGTGACATTTACATTGCAAAAAAACAGGCCATTTTTATTTAAGCTCCTAAATATAGCTTTAGGAGCCAAACTTTACATACTCGTGTCTGAAAATGTTTGCCATTTCTATCAGGATGGATTGATTTAGATCAAAGTAATTTAAATGAGCAAGCAGGAATCCTTGATATAAATAACCAATTTTAATCTTCTTTTGCAGTTATAGTTTTTAGTTATTTTCCTAAAGAAATATTGATTCTCTTTGGCTGGTTGAATGATCAACCGTTAAAACATGTTGATCTTCAACTAAAGATAGTCTTTATATTAACTATGGTACTTCTTTGTAGCTAACCAGAAGTATACTGTTTATATATATATAAACAGTTAATATATTATATATTATTATATAATATAATATATATATTATTAATATATATATATATTAACAGTTATATGCCTTAACATACATTTATTCAGATTTGAAATTTTTACATTTTTATCATATCATTGAATGAAGAATTATGCATTTCTCATTTACTATGAGTAATTTTTTTACTCATGATTTGTATCAAGCTGCATTTGGATGAAAATTGGAATTCAATAAAAATAGTATTTTAAAATGGTTTTCATTTGTTAAATAAAAACTACATAAGAAAAAATCAGTCTATCCAAATAATGATTTGTGTCTAAAACTAACTGATTTATTAAACAAAAGTATTATCTGTAGTTAGTGAAGAGAACGGATTGTTTCTGGTCATCATGTCCTTCATGATTTTAGAACTAGTATATCTCATCCTCTCAGACTTTGTTTTATTCATAGATTGGAAGAGTAAAACAAGGTTTCCGGCCTTTTCAAATCCCAATGTGTTTCTCAACTTTCAATGAACTAGTCACTGAAGTGATCTAGTTCAATAAACTAAAATGAAGATAATATTCTCTGTACCTGCAAAAGAGTCTACTGCTGTCAAATCTGGTCCAGCACTTGAGCAAACTCTGGCTTCAGGTGCTTATCCAGTGACTTCTATCAGCTCAGTGGTTTGACTATCCTTAAAACTGGCAGCAGACATGTATTGCTTGAATGTTTTTATTAAATGTAAATATTAATATATAATAGTAAGTTTAGAACTTAATATAGGTGGTCATAATTTCAAATATAATTTTTAATGGGTTACTTTTTAAAAGAAAAACATTTTAATTAAATTAAACATCCAATTACATTAAAAATCCGAATTTTTTTAAATCATTAATTTTTATCCATGGCACTGGATTTTATTGGTACCATGCTGTAAATTAGAGAGAAAAATCAGTATTGTATTTGGAATTATCACAGGATCTCTGCTTCCGTATTATATTAAAATTAGGGTTGTCAAGCGATTAAAAAAAATCATGATTAATTGCACTGTTAAACAATATTTTTGGATGTTTTCTACATTTTCAAATATATTATTTCAATTACAACACAGAATACAAAGTGTACAGTTCTCACTTTATGTTTATTTTTATTACAAATATTTGCATTGTAAAAAATAGTAGTTTTCAATTCACCTAATATAAGTACTCTAGTGAAATTTCTTTATCATGAAAGTTGATTTTACAAATGTAGGATTACGTACAAAAAACCTGCATTCAAAAATAAAACAATGTAAAACTTTAGAGCCTACAAGTCCACTCAGTCCTACGTCTTGTTCTGCCAATCGCTCAGAAAAACAAGTTTGTTTACATTTACAGGAGATAATGTGGCCTGCTTCTTGTTTATAGGGTCACCTGAAAGTGAGAACAGGCATTTGCATGGCACTATTACAGCCCGCGTTGCAAGATATTTACACGCCAGATGTGCTAAAGATTCACGTCCCTTGATGCTTCAACCACCATTCCAGAGGACATGCGTCCATGCTGATGAGGAGTTCTGCTCAATAACTATCCAAAGCAGTGCAGACCGATATATGTTCATTTTCATTATCATGAGTCAGATACCACCAGCAAAAGCTTGATTTTCCTTTTTTTTGGTGGTTTGCGTTCTGTATTTTCCATATCAGAGAGTGTTGTTCTTTTAATATTTCTGAAAGCATGCTCCACACCTCATCCCTCTCAGATTTTGGAAGGCACCTCAGATTCTTAAATCTTCGGTTGAGTGCTATAGCCTTCTTTAGAAATTTCACATTGGTATCTTATTTGCATTTTGTCAAATTTGCAGTGAAAGTGTTCTTAAAACGAACAACATGTGCTGGGTCATCATCCAAGACTGCTATAACATAAAATATATGGCAGAATGTGGGTAAAACAGAGCTGGAGACATACAATTACCCCCCAAGGAGTTCAATCACTAATTTAATTAATGCATTTTTTTTTTAGAAAAAAAGCGTCATCAGCATTGAAGCATGTCCTCTATAATGCTGGCCGAAGCATGAAGAGGCATATGAATCTTTAGCGGATCTGACATGTAAATATCTTGCGACGCCGGCTACAAGAGTGTCATACAAATACCTGTTCTCACTTTCAGGTGACATCATAATTAAGAAGTGGGCAGCATTATCTCCGTAAACGTAAACAAACTTGTTTCTCTTAGTGATTGGCTGGACAAGAAGTAGGACTGAGTGGACTTGTAGGCTCTAAAGTTTTACATTGTTTTATTTTTGAGTGCAGTTATGCAACAAAAAAACTACATCTGTAAGTTCAACTTTCATGATAAAGAGATTGCTCTTTCGTACTTGTATGAGGTGAACTGAAAAATACTATTTCTTTTATTTTTTACAGGCAAATATTTGTAATCAAAAATATAAGTGAGCACCGTACACTTCGTATTCTGTGTTGTAATTGAAATAGATATATTTGAAAATGTAGAGAAAATTCAAAAATATTTAATAAATTTCAATTGGTATTCTATTGTTTAACAGTGCGATTAATCGCAATTAATTTTTTTTGAGTTAATCGCGTGAGTTAACTGCGATTAATCGACAGCCCTAATTAAAATATGGTATGTCCTGCATATTATTACAATTGTGTACAAACTGCATACTGTGTTTTGGGGTGGTTGTAGCTGGTAAATGCACTATTTTTTTCCAACTATTAGTGAGAAAGTCTGCAGACCTCTACAAGTTAGTAAGTGGATGTAAGGTTTGGATTACTTCCCCAGGCACACTGCCTTAGATTTTCTGGCTGGACGGTTGAGTGGAGCAGAGCAAAGTCTTTGTCTATACCCTATCCTGATCTGCCCGAATGCACAGAAAAGATAGTAGCAGCTCTCAGAGGCTGCTCACCCCTTTGCACCTTCATAAAATGCAGGTAGCTTATCAAAGGGAACAGGGAGCTTCTCAAAGTAACAATCTGGCTCCTGATCTGTTGCTGCTGCCACCCCTTGCTCAGGGCTTATGACAAAACCATAACTGAGTCCTTTATCTGCAGGCTTTTCAAGACAAGGACCACATCTTGTCTTTTTCACTTGGCAAAGCAACTAGAATACCTGAGGAAACAGTGCACATGCTCAATAAGGAGTATGAAAATACAGACTGCAGTGGTCACAGGTATATAAGCACATGTTTTTTCAGACTGTATTCCTGCTTACATTTAAATTCATTTGATCAATCCTTAAGGTTTGGTTTGACACTATTATTTCCATTTCTCATTGGTACTTACATATCTGTCCAATTGGCTGTGGCATCCTGAAGTGCAGGCTTCCTCACGGCTGCTGCTCCTTAGCTCAGTTGAAGTGCTATTCAGAGCACATCATATCTTCCGTTTCTTAAACCCACAGGAACTTACTGTCTACCTGCTCTCCCCACCTCCATTCCCCTTTCCTTTTGAAAGGGGAACAACAAAAGGGCTACTATTCATCAGCTCTTCATTTGATTTCCTCCGAGTAAATCAAGAGCAGCCCCTGGCTGTGAACTGGAGTTCCCGAGATTTTATGAGTGTTATGACTCACAGTATTACTGCTATTTTTAATCTTATTAATATTGACAAACCAAACAGGTTTAGTCACTAGACAGATTTCTGATCAATAAATTACTCTGTTTAACATGGTTCAAAGTTAAGCTTTTATTCGGTTTTAAATTAAAAAAATAAATTTTGTTATTAAATGGGTCTAACTAATGTTTACATATTAGTTTACTTACTTTAGAATACCACCAGAGAAGCAATTAAGCTATACTACCCAAACAAAAACCTTTGTTAGAAAGATCAACAGTGGCATAATTCAGTTAAACTGAAAAAAAAAGTCTTAAATGTTTACAATGAATGTTAGAAGTAAACCTCTGGTTTTAGTGCCATCCAAATCTAATTGCCATCTCAAAGTCAGTTGTATTCAGGATACTATACCACAGTGCTAATGTCATCAGCTTCTTCTGGTTTCTTTTGCCTGCTTGGCAGGGATTTCAAGTACTCAAGGTGTCTTCTTGCATCCTCTTGATTTTGCCGAACATAATAAACAACATAGGATATCACCATGGTGAACCAGCCAAACATGGTGACTAGCATGGCATAATCAGTAGTCTTTTTAGGAAGGTTACAAAGATCTGCATCATTGGCAGCATTGAGGAACGGTCTCCCAGCATGTTCATCTAACACAGAAGTCTTACAGATGACATTGTTGGCTGTTTCATGGTTGGATGCCATGCTCCTCAGGACCTGCTGCAGAGTACAGTCACAGTGCCAAGGATTGTTTGCAATTCTGGCTCTGGCCTTTAAGTTATTGAAAGCATTTTTGTGCACACTTTGAATCCGGTTGTCAGACAAGTCCAAAGTCTGCAAGGTTTCTGCCACTCCTTTAAAGGCATGTTCATCTATAAATTCAATACCATTTTTGGATAAATTGAGAACTCTCAGTTGATGCAAGTCCTTAAAAATTTCATTTGGGATTGACGTTATCTGATTGGAGTCCAAATAAAGTAAGACTGTTTCAGGAGGAAGATCTCTGGGTATTTCCTTGAGATTTGCATTGCTACAACTGACATTTAAACCTCCAGAATGAGAACAAAGGCAGCCTTTTGGGCACATACTGGCAGAATGAAAGCACAGTATCATGAGGACAAAACTTTGTAAGAGTAGACACATGGAGAGGGAACGAGTTAACCACAGGTCTACCAAATGCATGCTGGGATGTCAGCATAATCACACGACCATTTCTCATTTACCCAACAGTGGTGGTAAAGGATTCTGTACAGCCAAAGCGTAGCTTCATTTTCTTCAGCAGAATTAGCAAAAATGGACTAACAAGTGGACTTCCTCATGGTCAGTGTTCTTCTTAAAAATAAACCTAAGGAGAGAAAAAAAGGTTCCTTAGATCGTACAATACAATCCAGATTAGTTCATTTAAAAGGAAATAAATGTAATTTAACTGAAAAGTATTGCACAATGGTCTATTATCCCATCAGCGCACAGGGGATTTACTCATCTAACTCCTATTAGCATTAATCTGAGCTTAGTACTAAAATTGCAGCACATCTTTAAAAAGATAGGCCACAATAGTTCTGAAATGCAGAGGTTTGGGTTTAATATCAGACAATTATTACAACAGTAGTTTGTTTTTATCACAGACTTACTAAAATAACAGCCATAAAATGTATTTACATTTTCTAAGTTACAATAGAAGGCACATTAATAGGATTTACAGTTGAACACCAGCAACAGTGACAAATAAGGCCAATATTTTTGTGGTTAATGACCTCAAAACGAAATACTTCCTATTTTAAGTCCAAATTAGAGAATTACATTGACGAAACATTTTTCTGACTGAATGCACTCATTATAAAAACAACCAAGACAAATACTGCTGGAAGGCACAGCACAAATCCATATACCATGTGTGTATTTCCCCCCTCAATTCCTTTTTTTGCTTCTGAATGTTTTGAGTCTTCTAGTTCATGAAATGTTGCTAGATATTTCTGGAGAGTTCTAAAGAAATAAATTTCATCTTCCATTTTCTGTCTAAAAAGATTTATTGTCTATAAGTAACATACAGAAAACAGAAATAAAACAAAATACAAACAAAGGAAACCATGTCTGTGCAATGACCAAAAACTCACTCGAGGTATACTATATCCCAATGGAAGATAAGAAAATGATTAATATCTCTTAAGCCATCTTCAGAGGGAAAAAGATGCAAATATGCAGAAGCATATTTCTTCAACAGAAACACAAATGCAGACTATGATATGTTGACCTATAAGGATTCACAGATAACCTTATTTTTTCCCTCCCATTATGCTAAACCATGAATTGCTAACCATTCCAGGCCCATTTGTTTTTATTCACACACTTTCTAGTCTTTTAGCAGCTCAGACATTTTCAAGCCTTCTGAGTTATATGTACATATACATGATTTTTAACATACAGTGGAGTCCAATGAAAACTGAAATCCCTATAGGGAGGGATTTGTGAGATTCCATGTGGAACAAAGGATATCTATATTGCAATCACTTCTGCCTGCAGTGGTGCATCCTATAGAATCCACAAACTAACCACACTTTCCAGGATCTCACCACAGCATTGACTCTCTATATTACTGAATATTTTTAACCCAACTACAGGAGTTTTAGTTAACCACTTTGCTGCTGTTACAGTGCAGTTACATCAGGACAAAACACGCCTCCCAGTATTGGTTTGTGTGTCAGGTACGCTACATGTGAGTATTCCATTGCTGCTTCAGTAGAATGTCGGAATTTCTAAAGAATCCCACAGCGGCCTCCTGCAAAGTATATCTGCAAGACAACTAAACACATTCACTTTTGCACTGGTGAGCCAGGAGGGGGCTTGCACAAGTCGCTTGTTAACAGAGCTGGCATTTGGGATCCATAAACAGGGATCTCAGTTTTCATTAAAAGAAAAAAAAAAGTTTCTATCCCTTTTTCTTGCTATGCTAGCCTTGAAAATGTAAAATGAAGGAAAACAAAATGTAAAAACCCCAAACAAAGAACAACACTAAGGTTGAAGAAAGCAGCAGCTGGGTTCTCGGTATTCAAAGTGAGGCTAGGCAGAACCTAAATTTCCATGCACGCACACACACGCATGTACACACACACACCCTTCCTGTGTAAAATAAATCTATTGTGTTTGGGATGTATCCTTAAGAATCATCTTGCTAAACCTCCCTAAAAGCCTTAGATCAATCCTGTGCACAGTGCTGTGATCATGGAGGGCAGAAAACACTTATGGGCTGCAAAAAAAGTGTTTTATTAACCTGCCCAGAAGAGCTTAGTGCTGGTTACAATGTTGAGCCCTTTCTGAGGCTAAGATGGAACAGGCAGGTGGCTAACTTTGGCAGCTCCACAGTGTGGGTCTGCCACCATGCCTGTGGTGGTGGGAGCTGCTGCAAGAGGAACTCCACTAGGTTAGTTAACAACCGCATGGTCCCTGCCAGCTACTCCAGCAGCATATGAGAAGGTGGACAAGCTGCTACTGCACTGAGTAACTGCAGCCCTTCTCTCCCCACCAGAGCCTGCTTGCCCAGCCCCAGCTTGGAGCATGAAGAGTTGACACAGGCCCTGCACACTACTAAGGGAAAACTGGCTGCCCTGACCTTCCCTGCCCACCCATAAGTCAGGGCAGATCCATTTCCCCACCATATAACAGGTAGGACAGATTTATATGTTCCTTCATTTTTCAGTCTAACCATTTGTTGAATTAAAATCTATACAGAAAATTCCCATCACAGCAGTGTCTGGGCTCAGATTAAATTAAACAGTGCAAGAACATTCTCCAAAAATAGGAAACAGAACCTGATTCTTAGATTATACCCCACTCTTCACGAAGAACCTCACCCTCACAGAAACAGGAGGATGCCAAAGAAAGAGAGCCCCATAAGCAGCGGGACACTAACACACACAGTCAGGGAAAATCCTGACCACAAAGCATCTGTAACCATGGCCTAGAAGTGGAAAGACTCAGGCCCCACCATGCAATATATATCCTTTTCACCGTGAACTTGTTCCTTGCTGCAAAGTATTTCTTAATAATTAAAATGACTGTTTCACCACTCTTTCCTGTGCGGCGTACCATAAACAAGGTCACTGGTACTGATATTAGGTCACTGACCTGGCTCAGCATCACAAAGGTGATAAGCATGGTGTTGCTACCTACTGCTCACACACTGCAACTTTTTACTAATAAGTAATACTGGAATCCTTACTATAGGAATGCTCAACAGCAGTAAGACTCCCGCCTCAAGCTGTTTCAAGTGGCCTGCAGGCATCTCGGTTGCTGATCTCACAGGAACATAAGTATTATCACTGTTCTCCTCACCAGGGCCTGAGGCTCAGGCAATGCATTTATTAGCCTGTACTGAAATGAGCATTCAATATATCCTGGTGGGAAAACAAAGCATAAATTCATTGTTAGCATATACCTGGATGTACAGTTACATCAGTGTTTTCTATAACATGAGTCAATATCAATAATATGGTTATGAAAGTGCAAGAATTAGCTTTATGAACTCTGAAGCATTTGATAGTTATCAATCCAATGAAAAATAATTTGTCAGACAACAGATGCATGGCACCGTATTTCTAACATGATGTTACCTGACTGCTGTTTAATGAATGTAGAATTATAATTGTAACAGTCTGCGAGCAACACCACTTACATAGCTCTCCAAAAGGATTCCTGCTATGTCTCCATGTCTAAGATCCTGAGAGTCGTGTACAGGAAAGTAAGAAGTGGGTGACACATTTCAAAGAGAGCTCAAGTCCACCCAAGCAAACAGGTTCACAAATACCATGCTGAACTCTAAGAATGCAGATAAGCATCATGGTGCAGAATAGCAGCAAATGTTTCTACCTTCCTGCCTCCTGAACATTACTCTACAGTGACTCTGGCAGAGAAGTCCCCAACCCTACAAACTGCAACTTGAGAAATAATGTAATTGTTATTCTGAGCTCAATGGACTCTTCAGATTGCTGACAAAGGTTATGCAGGTGGCCAGTTATGACTACTATTCACGGTGCTAAGATATGCTTGTTTTAACTTTACATCCTCATCTCTTCCCTCACTAGTCCATTTCACCCACCAGTTATGTTCTTTTGTAACCTATTTTGTAAGCTCTTTGGAACAAGTACTGACTTTTTAAGTATTCTGCACAGTGTCTAGCATTATGGAGTGATGATCTCTGATTGGAGCCTATTGGTGCTACTGAAATACAAACAAACAAAGAATAATAAAAAGAGAACGCATCTAAGCCAAGTAGCCGACTGATGTAAAGGACATGAATGCTTTAGAAATGTCCTAAACTTACTAATTCATATTACGTTATTCATACAAAGAATTATCCACACATTTATGTGTTATTCAGTGTCAGCTAATAAAAGCAACAATCAACAAGAATGGTATTTCTTGAGAATTAATGACAGTCCTTAGCTGTAACTTTTTCCTCCCCATTCTCTTCTATAGAATTGCTACAAATCTAAATACTAAGATGGGTTAACTAGACTGCCTGGCACCAAATGAGGACATTGACATAATAGGTCCATCACAGAAACTTGGTGGTATGAGGATAATCAATGGGACCAGTAATACCAGGGTACAAAATATATAGGAATGACAGAATAGGTCACATTGCTGAGGGAGTGGAAAGAAGGCAGAGTCAAATAAAGTAAAAATCTTAAATTAATCAAAACTGTACCACAGAATTTCTATGGATAGAAATTCCATGCTTAAACAATAAAAGTATAGCTGTAAGAATATACTTCTGACCACCTGACCAGGATGGTGACAGTGACTGTTAAATGTTCAGGGACATTATAGAGGCTACAAAGGCAGAAAACACAATAAATGGAGGATTTCAGCTAGCCCCATATTAGCTGGGAACATGTCACCTCAGGAAGGGATGCATAGATAAAATTTCTATCCACCATTAATGACTGCTTCTTGGAGCAACTAGTCGTGGAACCCACAAGGGGAGACGCAATTCTTGACTTAGTCCTAAGTGGAGCACACCAAATGTAGTCCAAGAGGAGAACATAGCTGAACCACTCAGGAATAGCAACCATAAAGTAATTAATTTTAACATCCTTGTTGGGGGAAAAATGCCAAAGAAACCCACCTTAGCAGCATTTAATTTCAAAAAGGGGAACTAAACAAAAATGAGGAAGGTAGTTAAATAGAAATTAAAAGGAACAGTCATAAGGGTGAAATGCCTGCAAACTGCATGGAGACCATTTAAAAACACCATAATAAAGGCTCAAACAAAATGAATACCCGAAATAAAAAAGAAAAAAACAGTACAAGGATCCAAAAATGCCACCATGGCTAAACATCAAAGAG